TACTTTTCATCTGAGAAGTGTGTATAAACATTTCAGATACCCATTTTTAGATTGGGTCTTTAAATTTGGAGGTTTTTTTTTTTTTTTTTTTTTTTAGTTCTTTTTATATTCTAGATAGTAGTCCTTTCCCTGAGGAACAGCTGGCAAGCATTTTTTCCCACATGGTGGGTTGTCTCTTCACTCCGTTAGTAGTTTCTCTTGCAGTGCAAAAGTTTTTTAATAAGATGAGAGCCCAGTTGTTGATTCTTTGTGATATTTGTGTGATTGGAGTTTTCTTCATAAAGTCTGGGCCTACACTAGTGTCTTGAAGAATTCTACCTATTCTATTTTTCAGCAGATTTAGTGTTTCTTTTCAATATTTAGATCTTTGATACATTTTAAATTTAGTGCATGGTGAAATATATGGGTCTAGTTTTAATCTTTGGCATGTGGAAAACCAGTTTTTCCAGCACTATTTATTTATTTATTTAGTCTTTTTGAGACAGGGTCTTGCTATGCAGTTCAAGCTGGCCTTGAACTCACTTTGTAGCCCAGGGTGGTCTCAAACTCACAATGATCCTCCTGCGTCAGCCTCCTAGGTGCTGGGATTACAGGCGTGCACCACCATGCCTGGCTTCCAGCACTATTGATTAAAGAGGCTATCTCTTTTCCAGTGAAGGTGGTTAGCTCCTTTGTCAAAGATAAGGTGGCTGAGTGTGTTTAGAGGTGTTTCTGCATCTCTTAATCTGTTCCATTGCTCCTTGGGTCTGTTTTTGGTCAGTACCATGCTGGGTTTTTGGTTTTTTTTTTACTTTTTGAGACAGGGTCTTGCTATGTAGTTCAGGCTGGGCTTGAGCTCACTTTGTAGCCCAGGGTGGCCTCAAACTCACAATGATCCTCCTGCCTCAGCCTCCAGAGTGCTGGGATTACAGGCATGCACCACCATGCCTGGCTGTACCATGCTGTTTTTGTCACAGTAGCTTTGTAGTATAATTTCAAGTCTAGGATTGTGATGCCCCCTGCCTTGCCTTTGTTGCCCATAATTGCCTTTACTATTCTAGATCTCTTCTGGTTCCAAGTGAATTTTAGGATGGTTTTCTCTAATTCTGTGAGATATACTACTGGTATTTTGATTGGGATTGTATTAAATCTTTATGACAATTTTGGGAGTATCGCCTTTTTCACTATATTGGGTCTTCCTACCCAAGAACAAGGGAAATATTTCCATTTTCTGATATCCTCTCTGATCTCCTTTTTTTCAGAGTACTATAGTTTTCATTGTAAAGTCTTTTACTTCCTTTGTTAGATTGATTCCTAAGTATTTCATTTTGGGGGGATGCTGTTAGGAAAGGTGTTGTCTCCCTAATTTCTCTCTCAGCTTGTTATTTGTGTGCAGGAATGCTATTGAGTTTTGAGTGCTGACTTTGTATCCAGCTATGCAACTGAATTTGGTTATTAAATCTAGCAGTCTTTTGGTGTAGTTTTTGGGCTCTTCTACGTAGAGTATCATGTCATCTACAAATAATGATAATTTAATTTCTTCCTTTCCTATCCTTATTTCTTTTGTTTCTTTCTCTTATCTAATTGCTCTCACCAGTGTTTCCAGAACTATATTGAATAAGAGTGGTGACACCAGACATCCTTGTCTTACTTCTGATTTTAAAGTGAAAGCTTTTAATTTTTGTTCATTTAAAATGTTGGCTGTTGGTTTGTCATATATAACTTTTACTAAAGACCATCTATTCCAATTTTCTGAATGGTTTTTATCATGCACAGGTGTTGAGCTTTGTCAAATGCGTTTTCTGCATCTATTGAGATGATCATGTGATTTTTGAGTTTGGCTATGTTAATACAGTGTATCTCATTTATTGACTTGTGGATGTTGAACCATCCCTGTGTCCCTGGTGTCTTAGTTTTTTTTTTTTTTGGTTTTTGGTTTTTTTCTGGTACTGGGAATTGAACTCACGACCTTGTGCTTGCCAGGCAGGTGCTGTGCTGCTGAGCTAAAGCCCCTGGTGTCTTAGTTACTTTTCTCTTTTTGCTGAGACAAAATACCCAACACCCAAAGTTAAAGGGGGAAAGGTTCATTTAGCTCACATTTTGTGGAGGTTTCAGTTTCTAATGGGCTGGCTCCAAGGCACAGTGGCACATGACTGAGGGGCAGCAGTTCATGGCGGTGGAAGACAGCAAAAGCAACAAGTGTGGAGAGACAAGCCTCCTTCTGTCCCTTATATTGTATGCAGGCTACTTGCCCTAGGGCGGGTGTAGCATTCACACCCATAATCCAGCACTGGACCATGAATCAATCACAAAGTCTAGATTCAGCTACCTATGAAAACCTGCTCTCAGTGGTTGTAGGAGGCTTTGGGGAGACATCTAGACATAAACTACAACACCTGGGATGAATCCTACTTGGTCATGGTGTATAATCTTCTTGATGATTTGCTGCATTCTGTTTGCCAGTGTCTTTGTGCGGATTTTTGTGTCTATGTTCATTATGGAGATGGGCCTGTAGCTCTCTTAGTTGGGTCCTTATTTGGGTCCTTGTCCAGATTTGGTATCAGGGTAATGCTTGCTTCCAGGAATGAATTTGGGGATACTGCTTTCCTTTCAATTTCACTAAAGAGTTTGAGAAGTAGTGGCATTAGGTCTTCTCTAAGTTCTCTAAATAGAATTTAGCAGTGAATCTGTCAGGGCCTGGGCTTTTCTTTGTTGGGAGATTTTTTTTGTTTGTTTGTTTTTGAGACAGGGTCTTGCTATGCAGTTCAGGCTGATCTTGAACTCACTTTGTAACCCAGACTGGCCTCAGTCTCTGCAACAATCCTCCTGCCTCAGCCTTCCAAGTGCTGGAACCACAGGCATACACTTCCATGCCTGTCTTGTTTTTTGGGGTTTTGAGACAGGATCTCACTATACAGTCTAGGTTGGTCTTGCACTCACTGTTTAGCCCAGGCTGGCCTTGCACTCTTGGTAATCCTCCTGTCTCAGCCTCCTGCATGCTGGGATTACAGGCCTGCACTTCCACACCTGGCAGAACTTCAGCAGCTTCTTCCCTGATCCAAACTGAAGCCCCTCCCCGATATTCCGAATTCCCCAGCGCTCCCCCTCCCCCAGGTCTCCTCCCGCTGAGGTCCCAAACCCAGGTCCTGTCTGCCCAAGCCAAGAGTAGAGTTCTAGGACCCACCAGATCGCCGTGCTTGCACAGAACCTTCTCTGTGGGACACCAGGAGGTGGAGCTTGGTAATGGGCAGGGAGGGCTGGGCCCCTGCAGAGGAAGGTGGGGGGGACCCTCTGGGAGGTGTGAATGTATAAAGCTGGACCCTGTAATTACAGCAGTGCCCCTAAGCCGAGCATTCCCCCAGGCTGTTCCATGGTGACTGAGTCCTTTATTCAGCCCCGGTCTTGGCAAATCCTTGCTCATCCCTGGAATAAGGCGGCCAGCGACCGTGCCCACTCCTGGAAAAAGCAGCGGGGCTCCTCCTTCAGTGTCTAGTGCCTGCCACGCGAGCTTGGTGCTGTTGAGTGAGGGGGGGACAGTGTCAAGCGCTGTCAGGACGGATGCTAAGGGGGGCGGCCTGTTCCCACTGTGTCCAGGCACCCTGGCCCGCGTGCAGCCCCGGGTAGTGTGATCCCCACCGGCCCACGCAGCCCCTCTACGTTGTCAGTCAGCAGCCCCGCGCCGCCCCAGCCCCAGCCGGAGCCTTCTCCTTTCCTTCCCAACAGGCCTATTCCCTGGCCCCCTTTGACCTCATCAAAGTCCGTCTACAAAATCAAACAGAGTCCAGGGTGCGGCCAGGGAGCCCCGCGCCCCTGTATCGTGGTCCCGTGCACTGCGCAGCCACCATCTTGCGAGAGGAGGGACCCCGGGGGCTGTTCCGAGGATCGGGGGCCCTGATGCTGAGGGACACCCCCACACTGGGATTGTACTTCATCACCTACGAAGCGCTCTGTTACCAGTACACCCCAGCCGGCCAGCAACCCAGTGAGTGCGGCGCGGAGAGGGCGCGGTGGAGGCCGCAGAGGGAGGCCGGGCGGGGAGGGTGCCCGCTTCCGGGCCTGACCTGAGCCTGGGCTTCCTCTGTCGCAGGCTCAGCCACCGTGCTGGTGGCGGGGGGCTTTGCAGGCATCGCCTCCTGGGTCACAGCCACCCCCTTCGACGTGGTCAAGGCCCGCATGCAGATGGGCGGCGTGAAGCGGCGGGCGTACGCGGGGATGCTGGACTGCGTGGTGACCAGCTTCCGGCAGGAGGGCCTGGGGGTCTTTTTCCGCGGCTTTACCATCAACAGCGCGCGAGCCTTTCCAGTCAACGCGGTCACCTTCCTCAGCTACGAGCACCTGCTGCGCACGTGGGGCTGAGCCCGGCGGCGGCTCCGGGCGCCCGGGGCGTCCAGGCGCAGCCTCGCCCGCGCCGCCAGCTTGGCTCCTGCGCTTCGGAGCGGGAGCGCGGGGCACGAACGAACCCGAGCGGCTGGGGCGCGGGTGACCTCGCAGCCCTGTCCAGGAAGCCCCTGGCTTTCCCCTCTCAAGGCCCCGGCCCTCGGGTTCCACAAACAGCGCACTTGGCACTCAGCGCGCTTTTCAAACCTCTCCTCGCACGGCCGGCTCGCTCGGCCCTTTGCCTTCTTGTCCGGAGTCTTTCAGGGGCGCCCAGTGGCTGCCTCCCCGCGCGGCTGTGGACCTAAATACACCGGTCACTCAGGACCCGGGCCTGAGAGGCTTCCCCCCTCTGGCCAGCGGGGACTGAGCCCAGCAGGTGCCTCCACCCCCGCAGGGGACAGGCCTGCACCTTTTGATAGGGGTATATGGGTGTGGGTGTACTGGGGATTGAATCCAGGGCCTTTGCACTGAGCTGCATTCTCAGTCCTTTTTATTTTTTAAAATTTTGAGCCAAGGCCTCACTAAGTGGCTAAATTGCCTGGGCTGGGTTTGTAATCTTCCTGCCTCAGCCTCCCGAGTGCTGGGATTACAGGTGTGCATAACCAGGCCCTACTCGAGAGGGCTCCTTTAGTTGATAAGGCTGAACAGCTGGGCATGGTGCCACACGCCTGTTTTATCAACTAAAGAAACCCTCTTTTTAAAAATTAAGTTTATTGGTACATTTTAGCTATGTATAATGATCACATTCATCATGGGGAATTTGTACCTGTACGTGTCTTGGTTCTTTTTTTTTTTGCCTATTCTCCTTCCCAACCTTCAACCCCTCTTCCCCTCCCTATTTACAAAAACATTGTTTCCATTTTTTCTAGAGGAACCCTCTTGAGCTGGATGTGGTGGCACATGCCTGTAATCCCAGCCCTTGGGAGACTCAAGCAGGAGGATTGCTGCAAATTCAAGGCCAGCCTGGTCTACATACACATAGACCCTGTCTCAATAAGCCAGAATAATAACAATAATAATAATAAGACTGAACAGCTGGGTATGGCAGTGCATACCTGTAATCCCAGCACTTGGGAGGATCATTGTGAGTTTGAGGCCAGCTTGGGCTACATAAGTGAGTTCAAGGCCAGCCTGAACTGCAGAGCAAGACCCTGTCTCAATGAATCTTTTTGGCTTTGTGGTGGGGAGTGGGGTGCTGGTGTTGATGGTTTTGTGTTCTGAGACAGGGTCTCACTTTGTAGTTCAGGCTGGCTTTGAACTCACTATGTAGTCCAGGCTGGCTTTGAACACACAGTGATCCTCTTGCTTTAGCCTCTTGAGTGCTGGGATTACAGGCATGTACCACCACGCCCGGCTAGTGGTGAATGTCTATAATCCTAGCTACTCTGGAAGCTGAGGCAGGAATTCAAGGCCATCCTAGGTAATTTAGTGAGACCCTGTCTCAAAATCAAATAAGAAGAGGGCTGGGGATATAGCTCAGTGCAAGATGCTGTGTTTAATCCCCATATCAATCAATCAATCAATAAATCAATAAATCAAGTTGTGTTATAACTGACCTGGAATCAAATTGCTTTATAGTAGTGTAGCAGAACATGCCACCCTAGCCATATACTTCAGTTGCCCAGGTGATAATTCCTATTGCAGTTCTGGTTGCTTCTGTCTCCTGGAAACGGCTGGTCACTGTGATGCACACTGTAAGAACCAATGGAGGAGGGCTGAGGATATAGCTCAGTGGCACAAGCGCCTGCCTGGCAAGTGTGAGGTCATGTGTTCAATTCCTGGTACCAAAAAAAAAAAAAGAATCGAGGACAACCAAGCACTCTACCTCTGTACCCACCCCCTTGGCAAAAACCTCCCTCCCTGGGCCTTTGAGGCCTGACATTTTGAGGAACAATTGATTCCTAGTCAGTGCCTGTTGGACGTTAAATAAATCTGCCTCCAAGTCTTGGGTGTTTCTTTCTTTC